TGAACACTTCTCTGACATCACAGAAGTGGCGCTACGGCTATTGGGCCAACTCCACAAATCAGGAGGAGACAGCCACGGACATTGCCGTTCGAAAGCGCTGGAGACGCTGTAGTACATATGCCAGGCCTGTAGATGGTGCTGTTCTCACAGAATCAGCCCATGCAAAGACAGTGTTAAAGTGAGCAAAATGAGGAATGGCTAAAATGCATGATCGGTATTTTGAAAAATAAAAACTATAAATATGCCTTCTATAGGTATGGTCCTACACTATATTATTCAAATATAGCATGATTGGTCCACTTTAAATTAAAACATGTATTTTCTTACAGATCAGTGCAGATTAAGTAGCCTACATACATCAGCTGTACTTGGTGTTTTTTGACAACTCAGGAGGGAGCCAGTCGAGATTTCCTTTTGAGGGCCACCAGCTGCAGAGAGTTAACTAATTAAAGGGGCGTGGCCCCACAGCTGTGAGAACTCAGCAATCAGGTGTCCATTTTAGGTAGCACTTTTCTGGAGCATCAGACGAAGACTGACAAAGACATTAAGAGNACGTTTCAAGTCCTATGAAAGTCAAATAAGACGGTGTGTAAAACTTCACTTTACCTACTGGCCTAGTTAAATCAAAGTGGTTACTTTTTTTTGGCTGGGCAGTGAAGTTTTACACACCGTCTTATTTGACTTTCATAGGACTTGAAACGTTTTTTTGGGGGCGGACCCCCACAAAGAAGAAACATATATTTACACATGTAAGGTCATCTTCTTAAACAGTTTATTATTCTCATCGACTCATCCGTGAGCAGAGCATCAAGTTGGCATGTCTATAACAGCTGAATGTGGTGATTACCATCTTGATCAGCAACAAAACGCCACACAAACGTATTAAGATTTAAAGCTATGGTGCGTTTTGATTCAATGCTGAGTACAGCCAAACTTGACAGGCTCTTCTCTGTCATAGTAGACCGCAAACAGTTGCGGCGCCAGATCTATGGTAGGGCTAACCCATACAGTGGTGGGGCTCATGTCAGTATTTGCAATGTAATTACATACACGCTCCCCTTGACAGTGAAACACCACGCGTGAGGTTTAGATTATTTCCCTGTCTCAATCCAAATTTAACTGTATGAAATAAAAAGGCGACCTGGAGCCAATCCTGCAATTTTCCCACAGGTGAAAGAGTTGAAAACCCAACCCCTGCAGGGGGGTCTGGGGGGATCCTCACCCAGGAGATTTTTTGAAATACTAACATCAAATACACATTCTGGTGCTCTCTTGAGAAGAAAAATAAATAAATATATATTACTACACAACGTATTAAAAAAAATGAATGCCATTTTAGTTTTTTGTTACTTTGTTCTGAAAGCTGAACCTGCTGCTCCTCACAGAGAGGAGAGGGAAGAGGCTGTGTGAATTACTTTACATTGTGGATAAGGGTGGATAGCCCCCATTGTTCTGTGTGTCAAAATGAAAGACAGCCCACGCACCTATCAATCATCAAACCGGCGTGGGGTCTTATAGTTGTACCGATGTATATAGAGATGTACTACAGCAAAAGTATTCTCCGTCGGGACTTCCTGCAACAACACCACGCCGTTATCGTGATTCTGATTGGCCAGAAGATATTATCAAAGATGTTCTATTGAGAAGACGATCACTACGTGACAAAAGTGTTCANTGGCAAGGCTAAGAGCGTAATATGAAACAAGGTGAAACTCTTGCAGAAATATATTTGACCAAATACATATCTGTAGCCCCTTATGAAATCGAACTTCTAATGCAAAAGGTATTTTTTGTGTCTCATTCCCTGCACCACTGACTCTCCATACGTCCATGAACCTAATGGCTCTCCACCACTTGTAAAATCTAGTCTCGGATGATCTGAGTACCTGTTTTAGTCACAGCTCTAATTCCCAATGAGAGAAGCTAATTCATGGCTCGGACTCATTTAGACTCAGAGGGGTTTGCGGTTGGAGGAGCAGTCGCCTCTTCCTCTCGGTGAGCTCCAGACGGTTCTACCTGCAGCCGTCCCGAGCAAAACAATGCTGGTCCTATAATTAAGTCTCGGGCTGATTGAATTAGAGCAGTCGCTACATTCATTTTGCTAAAGATGCTCCTCAGTTGCTTGGAGGGACTAATGGAAGAGATGGAGAGATATGTGGGAAACAATTAGACATGACATGATGTCTGTGCCAAATATTTTTCTTCTATATTTACCACACACTTGTCATATATCCGATTGAAACCTACATCAATTCTTCTTCTTCTGCATCCCTCCCTCTCCTCCGATGTTTCAATTAGATGCCTTGCAATTACATTACAGGGGACATTACTTAAGAGGGACATAAATAGTGGCCCCGCCAATGTGATGGTGCCTCAGCCAGATGAGATATGAGCTGCCGTGTGTCACGATTTCTGGAGAAGAGACAATCTGATTAGGAAACCATGTTCGATGCTCAACATCCTGTTCAAATCACACATTTTGTACTGTTTCTGTACTTACAATAATACATTTAAAGCACCCCCTCAACTTAAAACACGAGTTAAAGATATTGTTCATTAATTTTGATGTTTGACCCTCACTGTGCCGAATGACAGATGTTTGGATCTGCTGACGTAGAACATTTTCTCTGCATATATAAGCAGGATTTTGTGACACCCAGATGTGGAATCCAATCACATCCCAGTATGCAACTTGCACAAGTATGATGTGGTAGCTTAAGGCCCCTTAAAGAAAGGAAAAAATGGGAGCAGGAGAAGTAGAGGGATTTAGATTTTTTGTGTCTGCTAGTATGAGTCATTCTCCAAAATTGTAGGATACTTAAACTGTCTTAATGTGATTAAATAGTGTCTTTCATGAGCAGTCCCTGCCAGGTACATTTCCATTTTGCATACTGCATACGCCCAGTTTATATTGCAGGAATTATTCAACTGTTCTTATGATTAGTAAACTGAGCGTCACGTCTTCAATTGGTGGAGTGCCCCTTTAAACTAAAACTACATTTTCGACTATGATATTTTGGGGAATGTTTATTGTTCTACTGTGTAGTCCTTAAATTAAAATGTTGTTGAGTTAATGCTAATATTTCAGGCATTGTTGCAATTAAATTATTTGTGTTGATGCTATTATGTTGACCTCATTCATGTAACGTGGTAGCCTAGTCTGATAGTTGTAATTAGCTAGATTTACCACAGGTGCTCAGGCTGGAAAAAGGGCAAATGTGGGTCTGAGTTAAACAAAAATATTTCAGATTACAAATCAGCAGCCAGTGTGATACCTGGACAGTCTCCTTGCTTCAAGTCCTCTCTCTGAAGGTAGCCTGACTCCAGCATGCTGATTATCTGAATGCAAGGTCTGCTCTTTAATCTCATCTCGTCATGTCCTCGTAGAGGAAAGTGCTCAAATGAAATCTTGATTCCAAGAATTCCTTTTTATCTTCTGAGGAGAGTCTGGGAATAGAAGGTAGGCAGCTGTAGCAGATAAAAAGTTAGTGAAATAAAAAAGGTTCATTTTCAGATTCCATCAGCCAGAGTTAAAGTCTGCTGGTTCTCCTTTCTTATAAGTACATAATATAATAAACAATATTCCACCTGTCCAAGAATACCAAAAAATATGTGCGAGAGGTTTGAAGGGATAACTTTCATGGTCTTTAACCAGTTGACTTAACTTTAATTTAATAAATATGAAAGTAAAATGACATAATCTGGAGTTCTTACTGTTAAAATAAAGTAAATATTAGCTTTGGTAGAAGAACAGACAAACACAAAGGCCCAAATAATTTGAACATGCAGAACAAAAGTGTTCACTGGCATTATCAATGACTCCTGGAAAGACATCATAGGACGTTCTAAATATATCCAGTTATACACGATCTGTTTTGGTTCACATCCAAATGCTCTCAAGAAGAAAGTAAACGCCATCCCCCAACGTTCTCCCCCTCACCCGCAAAGCCTTGAATAAATGGATTGACTTTTGGACAAGCGACCGTTTTCCTTCATAATTGTTAATTATCATGAGTGCTCTCTGAGGCACTTTCTGTGAATGGAGATGGGACACTCTCCCTTCCTCCACCCTCTGCTCTTTTTACGGGATTGCTCTTAGTTCTCAAGGACGTCACAAAGGACACCACTGATGGAGGGAGGAGGTGCGGTGGATGGGTGGGGCACCTGCGTCATTCCTGCGCATCCGTTGGTGGATTTTATGGTAACGGCTGCCAGTAAACTACAACCCTTCTAACCACCCTGCCCAAGTCCATCTTTCCTGCCTTTCCTGCCCCACCCACCGCCGCATGGCTCCTCCCCGAGTCCCAGACGGGAGAGTACAGCACTTAAGGTAATGTAAATGACCAGAGAGCAGAGCTATTTTAAGATGCCGTCTTTCACTGTGGCCGTGGAGAGGAACAAAGATGCAAGCCAAGCGATTGTAATTTCAGTCACGTTTTCGGACATGTTCTCATTGTCCGTCTACCATCCAGCTAGCTGAAGGGCCCGACAGACAAGAAGAGCTGGGGCCGCCTGCAAATGCAATAACCTTTTTCTAAAGAAATATGTTAACCTAACAAATGCATAAAGCCTACATACATGTTTTACAATAACAGACAGATGAAAGTCTGAAGCTTGAGATACAATATTTTAAGCTTAACAATAAAATATGGAAAAATATATCCCTTTTAAACAAGGACCCTCTAACAGGGCCGTAAAATAAATCTGAGGGGTCACAAAATAATTACAGACTAGGACAGCAAAATCTGATAATTGCTCTTTCTCTCAAGATAATTGTAACTTTAAAGTTAAGTTTAAAAACATACGACAATCCAACAGTAAAATGATTGGTTAAACACAAGTCAACATAGCTTTGTTCAAAGTCATCCCATGCCTCACATTCTCGTCCGCGATGTTTTTCATGTTTCAGCATCACCACCAATAAACAGCTAAGAAACATCATTTTAATTAATAATAATTTAATTTAAAAATAAAATAGTTAACATAATGACTCCAGTATTCAGAAGAAATGTGTCATACCAATTTTATCTTCCAAAAGTAGAATTTATATATTTTCCTGAAATATTTTTGTTCTTTTTTTATTGTTTCATCTTTTATGACATCAAAAATAAATAAACATTTAGACAGCATCCTTTCTATCTTATATGAACATTTTTAAACAGCATCATTTGTTATCTATGTATGTATTATTCTCCATATTTATACAAACATACACTTAACAGTGGAAATATTCTGTACACTGCTGAATATATACGTGAAGCAGGACCTGCCGCCACATTGTTTACAATAGCTACTGCTTGACTTTGCAAAATCACAAACAAAACATACACAAACAGCAGTAGAAGTTCACTACTCGATATATTGAGATCTTTTTATGCTGCTGCAACAAAAACAATTTTCCAAATTGGGATCAATAAAGTACCATCTTATCTTATCTTAGAGGTTACATTCATATTCAAGTCTTTGTTCAGAGCCAGAGTCCAGTCAGAACTGTGGGAATTCAATGTTCTGTTTTTACGAGCTTCATTAAGGCAGCTTAATATAAGATCATTTTAAACACTAATTTACACTGATAGTTATGAATAAAATCTACACCTGACATTAAAGAGAATATCAGCTAATGCTTCAAGTCAACTACTCTTACTACTTGTATATTTTCTACTTAGCTTAATACAATGATTGTTTCTTTTCTGATTCACAGTCATCGTGTGTTTACCAGTTTTTGTGAATAAGCCTGTCAAAACTGTATCAAACTTAATGAGTTGAGGGTGTTGGTTAATATTTACGTGTGAGTTGATTCCCGAATCAAAACACAATCATTTCATTAATACAAATCTTTGCTGCACATAACATAATTTCAGTGGCTTGATATGACATTAAAGCTATACAATCCGGTTTTTCTAACTTTTGTTTTCCTTTTCCTTTTTTACTTCCACTCTCACAATCCTATTTTGAACAGGCGTTCAAACTATGTGTATGTGTTATTGCTTTTATTGATGTGGTACATACAGTAAACCCTCCACCTTCCAACTATGCTTGTGCCATCACTTGCTTCTTGTTAAATACTTGCCATTTCCTACCTCATCAAATATTGCACTACTTCTCCTCTGTAGAAACTGCATGCAGCATCTCTATCTGCACTCACGTCTCCTCCAGTTTGATCTGCTTTTTTCTTAGTGATAAATAAGGAAGAAAATAATTTAAATTAAGACAGTTTTCTTTAAATAGACCAATAAAAACGGATGCTGTACACCCTACTATCTAAGTACTATATGAGTGAATGCTTGATGTATTTCACAGAAAGAGAACTTCATGTCCTGACATTAGCAGGCTGCTACTTTATACATCCGCCATGTGGCTGGTATCACCACATGCTGGTTGTGGTACTTCTGTAGTCCCAAGGGCGGATGTTTGCTCGTCCTTTTTCTTTTTGGAAGGTCAGACAGAGTAACCAGTTCTCTGACAGTTCACTCTCAAGTTTTTTTCTTTTTTAAATAACATCCTGAGATTGTCATTATTCATCATGGTGGGAGGAATCAGGGCTGGACTCATCCTCCTCCTCCACTGTTTCAGCCGCCAGTGTGTCTCGCCGTTTGAAGGCCGCCGCCAAGGTCACGCTCAGCCGCGGTTTGACGGGCGCCATCTCAGACAGCCCAATGTTGTTTCCACGGGTCACAAGCGTCGTCTTATCCATAATCTCTCCACTGTGCTTGGACACCACTGCATCCAGGAAGTCGTATTTGTGTGAAATCTTGCCGCTCTCAAACAGGTACTTTGCCAGGTAGGAGACAGCAACGTTACCCAGAAAGGAGGCCAACATGGAGACGGTCTTAAAGGGGAACTTCTGGACAACCACATCCTCCATCTCTCCAGTCATGTGGTGTATCCTCTGCTCAGTGGTCCATCCAGGGTAATAAATGAAAGGGGGCATCCGCAGGTAGGGCTCACCTCCACCTATACGCAGCAGCATGCCAAACAGGTAGGCAGCCACAGAGCCGTACGTGTTGGTGCCTTTGATAAAGAGCACGCTGATCAGCTGGGGGAAGATGATGACGTAAACCAGATCTGAGCTCAGGTACCACAGCCCGTAAACTGTCCCGGTCACAAGTGCCATCAATGTAGCGAGGCCACCGAATACAAAGATAGTAATGCGCATCACCCATACGATCTCACGGTCAGACGCCTAAGGAGGTAGAGAAGAGTGAAGAGAGGATTGTGACATGTGCAGGACAGTCAAAGAAACATGGGTTCTGTATAAACTCTGACAGAAAACTTCAGATAACTTCAGGGCAAACACAGGTACTTACGGACTGTCTGAAAGCAAGTTGGTAGATGTTCCTGGCAAACATGGAGCTTGCTGAAAGGATGGATGAGTCTGCGGAGGACATGACAGCTGCAGACACTGCACCAAGTCCGAAGAAAGAGACGAATGGAGGGCAAAGATGTTGGAGCACGATGGGTAGAATCATGTCGGCTTGGTCCCTATCTTTAGGAGCGATGGCCCCATAACTCGTCTGGTTCCAGTCTGAGCAACAGAAAGATCACATGACATATCCAGTGTGCCTAGTATACATGTACTGTGAGATAATATTAATCTCGCCTCCAGAGAAACCAACTTCTCCAATTTTTCGGAAATTCTATTAACTATTATGTAAAATACAATGTAAGCCTTAGATTACTCATCATATTGTAAAACATACAATTGCTACAAAACATGCACAACTATTAGCATTGCAATATTTATTTTTCACTTAGTTTTTTTCAATGTTAATGCTCATGAAATCAGTTTTAGAATAGTATCAATCTCAAGTAAACAACTGTTTACTGGAAATACATATAAGCAATGTTGAACTTGTTCAAGCAATGTTGAACCTGTGTCATTTTGATTCTGTAATGTTTGCTTGTGATTATTAATTTCATGATAAAACGAGACAAAATAAAGTTGTATATCCTGGTGTTCACTGAGGAATCCTACGCCTGGAAATCTGGAGATCAAACCACTAATTTGGTCCCTTGCCTCCCTCTAATGTAATATTTACACAGCCAGTGTGGTTATTAAATGGATTCTTGCTTCATTATGGATGAGGTGCACCAGCTGCTATTTACCAGGCTCTTTTTAGATCTAAGGGCAACATGTACCCACCCAGAGCATCCCCCCCCCAAAACAACCACAAACACAGACTGTGTGCTCTCTAACCTGTGGAGGCCCCAATGGCCCCGATGAGAACGGAGGGCACGGCCATGACCAGGCACCCGAAAGCAGCCAGGAAGGAGAGGACCTGGGCGTAGGTGGCCGAGGAGGCCGACAGGACCCTCTGGAAATACACCTGCCAGGGTATTCCTCCAAGCATCTGTAGCACATTTAGAGACCAGTGAATAACACTCGCATAACTTTAGTTCTCTTTTGGCTTTATAGCCCAAACTCACAAATGTGCCTCACTGGGACTTAGCCTTAGACTCTTAATCTGGAAAGTAAACACTTTGTAAAACACATTTAACAGGAGGGCATGCAATTCCTCTTCATAAGAAACCACTGATTTTGAAAAGAGCTGGAGTATATTCAATTTTTAATGACTGATTCATTCTCTGACTGTCTACTCAACTTGATGGTATTTAGTTAGTTAGTAAGTAGACCAATTAATGGTTATACAATTGAGAGGTGAATAACTGGTGACTGTACCAGGAGGCAGAAGTTGTCGATCCAGACCCAGGTGTCGTTCTTGCCGATGCTGCCTCTCCAAGGAGACTGGTACACCTGCTTCACCGCAGTAACGGTGATGTCTGACACCGCGGGGTTGGTCAAAGCAAAAGGGACACTGATCCACTGCAGACAACCAGAAACAAGCACAGCAATAAACACCAAATACCTATAAGCAAAATGGTAAAATAACTTCAGGAGAATTTGTCACAAATTCATTTTTGTCACACTTTGCACCTTTCATATGTGAAAATTAGTTTGAATGTTTTAGCATGTTTAAGGTCAAGGTCAAAGTATATGTTGTGCAAGAAATGTAACAAATCTACTCAAGAACCAAATCTAATGACACTATTGGCAATCAATACTCTTACTACTGCTCAACATAAACCTACCAGGCCGATAAAGATACAGATGAGCTGCACCACGTCAGTGTAGGCCACAGAGTAAAGTCCTCCAACCAGGGTGTAAAAGATTGCAATGAGAGCTGAGATAACCACTGACATCTTGATGTTGATGTCCACAATGACACTCAGAGTGGCACCTATGGTCATGAGCAAACGGGTATTATGGTCACTGCAACACAACACTCACTTTAATCATATGATCCCACTGTAATTTCTTTTTTTTATTGTTGACAGAAACTTACCAAGGGCAGATAAGATGGCAGCAGACCAGAAGATCTCTCCCATGAGTGCAGGTATGAAGAGGAGTCCACCCATACGTTTCCCATATATCTGCTGGAAGGGGTCCAACATGGTGACGTAACCTCTTGAGCGCATGGGCTTAGCAAAAAAAAGGCCACCTGAGACAAAGAGTGGACACATTAGAAGGTACCAGCCATCCACAGGCCATAACTAAGTCTAGATTAAACTGCCTCTTGTACTCAAGTTTGCCCTCATGTATATTCAAATGGATTAATTTTGCAAAGTTTCTTTTAATTCATCTGTTAAAAATTGTCAAAACTAATAATGAAACAAAAAAGAAGCTGATAATCTACAGTGAACACCAGGTTTAGGATTTAACAAGGGGAGTTAGAGTTAGCCCTCTTATAAGGATGAATGTGACGGTTTTACAGTATAGCACCTCAATAATTTCAATCAGGTATGTACAGTAGTCACTAGGTAAGTTAACGTAGAAACAACTAACACAAATCTATTGTTATACGCCTGAACACAAGTAATATTAAACATGTGTTTTTATAGTGATTTAACAACTCACCCACAACAAGGCTGAGGGCATATCCAAAGGGAGCTTGTGCCCAAGCCAAGCCATAATCAGGTAGATACACATATTCAGCTGTGCCATTTATATATCCTCCTCCAACCCAGGTCGCTGGAAAATCGTACACAAGAAACATGTCAGTGGAGAAAACGCAGATTTAAAATAACATTTAACTTGTCCATTTTAGTAGTCCTGAGTAGAGACATCTGAGAAGCTCTTACAAAATGTATGACAGAGTCTTACAGAGTTTATTTGCAATTTATTTAAAGGTGGGGTAGGTAAGTTTGAGAAACCGGCTCGAGATACACTTTTTGTTATAATCCATGGAATACTCTTAACATCCCGATAGCAATGAATATCTTAAGTGCTTTGACAAAAAATCCATAAAAAAATGTCATCCGTGTGTGTTGGAGGAGGGGCTCTGTAGGGAAGTGGCAGATTTTTTCCGGCTGTGTATTTTCAAATTCTAGCGCACTCGAGCTGGTTTCTCCAAAATTACCTACCCACCTTTAAATAAAACAAAAATACTCAAACAACTCTGTTCAGCAAAAAACATCTGATTATTTACTCGTACAAAAAAAGGAAAGAATACACTTGTCTACAGAGTTTACAGTGCAAATGTTATGTCAAGTCTTGGACCTTCTCAATATAACTATAATGACTGTATGTTATTGAATTACAGTTTCCAGATTTAGAAGAGGCCCATAAGTCTCTTTGCTAATTATCAATGGTCTTTGCAATTATCAGCAGATGTACCCACGTTAAGTAAAACTGACCCAATGTGGGAGGAAGTATAAAGAGGCTGATTAGATTCATCATTATAGAGGTTCGTGTGTTAGTTCATGTAAAGAAAAGTGTATGCATTCATGTGCAAACGTAGGATATGTTTTGTTAATTGGGAAATTCATATCCTGCAAGACTCCTAAAGACGTCATGAGACAATGGCCTTTCGACATCTGCAACATACATGTTGCTCTGATGTTGGTGCGTCCATATGGAAAACATGATGTTCGTGTGCTAAACATGCAGGGGAAATGTTCGTGTCATTTAGAAACCTATATATGCTGTGTGAAACTTCTACTTTGTTGGAGCATTACTATCACTGCTTGAGAGCAAAGGTAATATTTTCCTCATTATTATTGATTGTTGTACAACGAAATGATAATTGATCAACTATATCTGTGTTTGTGTTTTTTGTATTCCTCTCTGTTTCATTATTTCCTGTTGTGAGTTTGCCACAACATAAACTTTAAAGCCTTTTTTAAAGAAACATCGCTAATAAAATCACAGTTTTATTGAGCATTACATACTAACTGTACCTGTCATGGTAAATCCACCGACAAATAATCCGATGTCTCTCCCTCCCACCATGATGGTCTCGCTGCGGTTGGTCCCCTCCGCCTCCCCGGAGTGTTTGTTCTTCCATGCCGCCCAGATGCCCACAACCAGGATCAGTAGATAGAAGATCGCGATAGCCACAAGCCCCTCTACATGGATGGTCATTATCGCACCGGTATGCCGCTAGGAACGGGAGGGCATGGAGACCTGCTGCCACACGGATAACAAAGTATCATAGGTAAGTAAAATAATAATAAAATAGAACAATACATTGGGATTAAGCTTCTGAACCATTTTTAGTTTTCGGTTCTTTTAATATAAAGATACATTTTAGATTTTCAGCTGGTTGTAGTTGGATCAGATGTTCAAAACTGCATTGACTTGTTGAACGGGAATGCTGTAATAAAATTAGCCACCACAAATGTTTAATTAGCTGATTTAATGGATTCAATGCGGTCGATTGGACATGAAAGCTATGTCTCTCCAAACTCAGAACAGGTTATTTGCGTCGAATCTCACTCTTCATTTTCAGAAAAGTAACGTGAAAATGTATAAAAAACAAACCTGGCGGCTCTATGAATCTATTTATATTCCTTCAAACAAAGAAAAATTAAGTTAAAATACATTCCCTTTAATTCACACAAATATGCCTAAATGTTATTTCCTATATACATTTTTAAGAAAATAATCAAACAAATATGTGAACATTTTTGAAAATAATCTGTTTGTCTTCTAGCTGCGCATTTTGATCAAACCCTTTTTCTCTTTTCGTTGTTTGTCCTTCTATCCGGACACTTGCACGTACAATTCCAATTACGCACAGCATTCACGATTAAAATATAAACACCCATAGGTTCAAAATAGCCTTATCCAAATGATATTGTGGATAATGACCCTCAACATGAAGATCTGCACTTTGGTCCTGCACAAATAATTTTTGTATCATACTCTAAAATATGATAAACGCAGTCAAACAGATTACCAAAGCTTAGAAAACACATGCAGAACTTACCTTAAGTATTTCTAAAGTCATGTGTTGGGGCACCTGAGTCTGAAAAAAGAGAGCAGAACAGTTGGATGTTTTTAAGAGCCTTGTTTCCCCCTTTGCACCGCGAGGAACAGTGAAATGAAACGTTGGTGGAGGTCTCAGGGTGACTTACTGAGGCTTATAAGGGGGCATGTGCCGTCAGCGGGATGATACACACGTCAGAGGAACCAAACGTCGTTCTTATTAAGTACCTTGCATGGAAACACGTCAGAGTGTACTGGCCGAGGACGTGGGAGAGATTCCTTCACTCAATGTGGATTGTTGTTTGTTTTTTGTATTACTATTTTTGTACCTCTAAATAGCTTAATATGTATTTTATTATCACCGTTTTATTTTATTATCTTTATGTGCTTGAAGTATATGCTTCCAGTGGCTCCTGTTCCTCCGGACCGGACGCGTAACGGCCCTAATTGCGCAGCCATACTTCATGTGGCCTTTTATCAGCTGTCACCATCTATACAGCTGGCATTTTACCTTACAACCGCAATTAAGTTTGCTCAACAGGAGCAGAGTATTGGTGCGGATGACGAACGCAAAAAAGTGCTTTAATTTAACGCTCATCAAGAATTCGATCTCACCCATGCTTGTTAACCTCGAAACTTGGGCCCAAAGTGGAATAATTATTTGAATAAAATGCTCCACATCTTTGAGCAATTAGAAACCATTTGGGTGTTCTACAGTATGTATGCCTGCCACTTTCTCTTCTGGATATATCAAGCAACTGCGTCTACTTAATGGCCGCCTCTGCCTTAAATCGTTTAATCTCGGCTACTCTTGTCAAAACTGACAGACATCCAATTAGGATGGATCCTGAAGAGCTGCAAGAGAGATTTAATGATACAGTCTGACTTTAAAAGAAGAAGCTAACCTACACACACACACGCACGCACGCACGCACGCACGCACGCACGCACGCACGCACACACACACACACACACACACACACACACACACACACACACACACACAGATATGAGGACGGTGTAAAGGAAGTAGTTCTTTGCTAAAGAGGTCTGAGGTCTCAGCTCATAAAGGGAAAGACTTACGAGGTTATTTTTGACCTGTAGAAACACACAGCGCACCGTTTGAGCACCAAGGACACATGGCCAATATTCTGTATTTGAAGGTTTATATTGTTGGACAACATTTAAATTGTGCTTAATTGTATCGGTTGGTAGGACTGCATCGTGAAGTCTTGTGAGATGTGAAATATACGCTAATTATTTTTTTGATACATTTTCATTAATTTCACATTGTAATCGTTCATTTGTGGGTAATTTCATTTTCTAATACATTTTTTATTTCTGAAGTTTTTTCTATTAATAACATGGGCCATATAACTTCTAATTCAATCTTTGATCAGTTTGCCACAAATAAAGTTAAGCAATCGCAATACTGTTAACTTGACTGTGATTAAGTTTGACATCTGATTCAGTCTGATACTGATGCCAACATCGAAAACATCCGGAAGACAGCTGGACAGCTTTCTAACTGAATATTTGACAGATGGCTGCCACATGAACATGACACTTTCACAAACCAAACACCTGAGTATCTACCTGCTTGAGGCTTGATGATGCTAACTACACACGGTTCCTTCTTTATTTTAACGGATTAACACAATGTATAACTACAAATAATTTTAAAAAGTAATCCACTTGTACAACCGACAAATGTTTATGTTTAACCAAATACATTCTACAGGGCTGAGGACTCAATGTTTAATGAGCAGCTGTTGCTGGCACGCTCAAGATGTTCATGAGAGAGGCACATAGAACGAGAGAGAGAGACAGAAAGCACGAGAAGATAGCATGAGTCATGATTCCAAATCATGAACCAATATTCATTTAACACAGTATTTATTCTTAAAAATAAACACGTACAATGTTATCAACAACAAAGCTCATTTAGTAACAATCTATAACATATCTGATGCTAAAGTGAACTAGTGCTCACAGGGTCTTCGTTTTGAATTAGATGTCAGGAGAATGTGAAACATGATCTCACAGGACTCCTCTCCTTGTTATGGATAACATATGGTGTCTTAAGGATATGAACCTGGAAAGTAAATCTTCACTCTGAAATGTCTTAGTTAGAAATAGACAATATATTACAAAATCAATGTGGTGACCTTAAAGCACCTACAAGCACAATTTCAATATCTTGGACTTGGGCGTCCCCCAGTGGTCTACACGAAGACACTGATATGAGTGGGCTTAAAGTAACAGGAAGATCCATTTCCATTGGTTATGTCTACCTACAAAATAAACCCAATACAGTTATATATTTCAAAAAGCAACAAAACTACACTTTCCAGCTTGTGTTTCTTGTCTTCAAACTAAAATAAAGTACTTGATATGAAGGATTGGTAGATCTGTTGGTGGCCCCGACTAACCATGATTTTTCTTTTCATTCACTCACGACTTAAATAACTAAACTAAAACAAAATGTAAAGGAATAGTTTTTTCATCCTATCCACCCCATGCATTCTTGTCATACATTCTACAGTGTCTACACCCATGGGTGATATCAAGCTGGTCTTTTCTGACTACATAGTGGTTATTAAAATAGTTCTGCAGAAGATAAATTAAAGAACATGATAAAGTTGCATATGGATATGATATAAAACACTATTATTTAAAATATTTGAATGTAGATGTTGGTCAGTTGATACTCTTTGCCCTGACATTACTCAGAAACAGTAACACCCCTTCTTTTCTATTAAGTTCAGATGAGGTGATGCACAAAAGCTAAAAGCAACCACACACTCTGATCTGTACAGCAATTGTTTTTAATGCAAGCTTTCAGTCAGAGACTAAAGCAGATGATCAAAGGATTGCATTAAAAACTGTGTGCAGACTGAGCAGATGATTTTCCTTTTTCTAGTGGTGTGCCTTTGAATCACTGGAGTAGAATGAGTAAATTATATTATTAGGTTTTTTCTTGGGCAATAGAGTAAGGCAAAGTAAAAAAATAACACTGGTTGAAATAACTTTGTAAAGACAAGTTCAGATTTTTAAGCAAACTAATTCACTTTACATCCATTTCATAACAATCAGTTTTTACAGCTAAGTTTACTATACATGTACACTCAACCACAAGTAACAAATCTACATTAAATGTAATTTTTAATGCACAAAAATATATTTTCAAAGAGAGCAATATTATTCAAACATCAGAAGAGCTGCAAGAATATATTAGCTGCAGGGAAGATATAGTAACTCTTGCTTTATATTTGACCCAATATCCAAGTTTTTGCATTTGTAAAAGAAATACAAAAATGTTCTTCTGTTAAGTAAATGATTGTTAACTGACATGCTGTGATTCTTCAAACACAAGTAATAATGTAGCTACAGAGGCCTTGAGAGACATACAAACATAAATTGGAGCATTTGGCATATTTCAGTGCTGGAAACAAATGCTAAAAACTTTCCTACAGGTTGTTTTGTATGTAATAGCCCATACACACAGATTGCGCATACTTAACATCACTGCTAAACGTTTTTTTGTATCTGATGCATGGAGGCTTGAGACAGGCAGAGACTGCCACCTGATTTCAATTAGTGGACATTCAATCAGAGCATGTATTCCCTGCTGTGTGGAAATGAATATGATTGTAGCACATCAGGCCACAAATATCTAATATTGGTTTTTGCCAGTGGAGAAGCGTGCAAATGGTATAATGTGGTGTGAATCTGAATCAACCAGCTGTAAAACATATGCTTTCTCCTCCAGTAATCTGGCACATATCATTTGTGGAACACATGGGAGAGTTAAAATGACACACCCAACCATGTATTTTTTACAAACTTTCCAGGTATCCATGCTCCCTAAAATAAAGACAGCACCAATCAAAAATAATGTGTTGTTGCTCATCATGTTCCCTCTGGGCCTGGAACACAACAACATTAAGAGTGTAAGGGATAATATAAATAGATGCTTTTGTTTAAATGTAACTCCCCCTTTAGAAAGAGAGTTAAAGCTAAGAAACACATTATTAGCTTGAACTCAAAACGCTTGCCTGGGAAAAAAAGAGTCCGTCGCAAAAAAATGTGTTAAAGTCTATGTCTAAATTTCTATGTTTCTCATTGACTTGGCATTATCAGTGGTATCATTTGTACTTTCATTACTAGTACCAGAAGAATCATGTAATACTTTAATGATTTTATTTTACCATCTAAATACCAAATTAAAAACATCACTGTCCCTTGGTACCTCTGAAAACAGAGTCAACCAATCTTCACATAAGACTTGGAGGAATGCTGCTTCTTCCAGCACATCCATCTTCATTCCCTCACGTTCTCATTGTTTTGATTTGATCTGGAAATGAAAGAAAAACACTGAATATATAGCTAAATACAGCTAAATATAGAGCAAGTTGTGTAAAAACCACAAAACCAAACTGTGTAATTTATGCACCACTGTTTCTCATAAAGGAGGAAACCAACATACAACATGTGGATCACCAACAGAGGAATGGATGACACTAGAGGAGACATTTCTATGGGTGATTGGACTTCTTGTACATGCCATGAATCCAAACTGACTTTAAATCACAGAGATAAGAGACACATTATAAGGCGCCACACGTGAAGAGCTCGGCTCTGAACTGTCAACAGGAGGGCGGGGGGAGCCTCGCTGCGGGGAAGCAGTGTGTGGACTTGTCAGCGCAACTTACATGATGCCGAATTTAACAAACACATATAATATAAGGACGATCGTCCGTTCTGTGATTCTCCAGAACACACATGGCCAGTCCGCCCCTGTGTAGCATGTTATTTCGATAAGAGATGAGCAGATCACCACTGGGCTTTCAACTAAAGACACAGCCACGCAAAAACTGTGGCATTTGTACAGCTCCTTATGGGTACTGCAATTTGTGAAGTGCTTTCCTCTGTGGTGAAACGATCAGCACTGCACCACAGAGGAAAGCAGCAGAAAGTCGCCTGGGGTTAAAGAGAGCGGGGCTGCGTTGCGTGCATGGCTTCCTTCTGCAGGTAACGGGGAGACGCGCCCTGGTGGCGGTCTCGTTCAGGATCCGAAAATACAAAAAAATATATTTTCCACACTTATTAAGGAATAAGTGTGCCACTGGGGTTGCCGACCCCTGGTCCAGATGAAACATTTGCTCACTCAGCTATTTTAAGACTAACGTCATAGAAACACATTAAACATGGTAAGGAAGTAAGGGGGTTTACATACACTTTTATAGCTATGCATTAACATACTAAATACCACCACACTTACAACACACCCAGTACTCACTGTACGATTTGATCTATGGAAGGATTTGAATGCGAGCGTTATACGTGATAGAAAGAAAAACACATGTTGATGAAGTGGAACACTATACAACTACACCCAAAGGACCTCAATGGAAACAAGCTCTTGTGCATTCATTTGTTGTATCCTAAAATGTCTAATAAACTGCACTGTGGGATAAGCAGCCAGCAGATCACAATCGACCACACACACTCATCATACCTTGTAGCCAGTCGACTCCATCCTGTAAACCTTCTCCTTTCAGAGCATCAGTGGCACTGAAACAAATCCACACGTCCGATTAGTAAAAACAAAAATCCTTTCAGGGCTTTTTCACATCTTTGGATACTAGCATGGAAACACTACTGCATGTATGTTCATACCAGATGTGCCAGGGTTTGTCCTTGATATTTGCCAAACACAGCAGCTGTGAGACCTTGACAGAAGACAGAGCGTCCCTGACATCCATCTTGTTTGCAAAGAACAGGATGGGAATCCTCCTGTGTTTAATATCTGTAGTGAGAGGAAGTTAGTGGTATAAATCAGCCATTTCATTCTGTTGTACTTGTAAGGAACAATGTGAAATCTAGACAACTTGAGTAGTAAATATTAGATATCTGTTGTTGGCAAAATAAAAACGTGTTGATATTTAAAAAAAACTGTAACATATGAGCGTACCCGGGTGGTTTAGTAATGTATCCAGCTCTTCTTTGGCTACTACCATCCTCAGTTTGTCTACACTATCAATGACAAATATGATAGCCTGGCCTTCCCTGAGAAAGAAGAGAAAAGAAAGAGAACATAATAATTACAACATTAACATCTAACGGCAACTAGAATTGGTTTTTATGTTTCTTTAAATGCAAGAACACTCACTTGTAGTAGTGTTCCCAAAGGTTTCTGTACCTGCCTTGACCAGACATGTCAAACACTGTGAAGGACAGACTACAAGAAGAGAAGAGAGAAAGCTTTTACACGCTCATTGCCATTGTATAGTTTGAATAAACACATTATAATGTATCGGAATTCTTCAATTTGATATTCATTTATTTAATTCAGAAATTTGCTAGTATTAGAAGATGACATAACATTTCTTGGATGACCAATTTAATTGAAAGACCAACACATTGTTGTTTAATGATCAACAGCTACCTTGATGTCTTAAACTTCTCAATGCTGAAGCCAATAGTTGGGACGATGTCTTGTGCCTGGGCCTGGAAAAACAAACGCAGCATATTTGAAATAAAAACATTAATAATGAGAATACATTAGAAACATCTATTTCCCGGTAGCCATTAACCTGCAAAAAATCACAAGTGTTCTGTAGATACATTTACAGATGATTATAAAATGGATAGTTACGCGCCTTGATTATAATAGGCTGAGCTAAGTTTGAAGCCGTAAAAAACTCTGTAAACATTCAGCTGTGACAGCAGTACATCTGTATAACGGTTTCAAACGAATTGTCACAAAATGTCAGATCACGTTGTGGATTTTGATTCTCCAGATGAGTGGCAGGGAGAGATGGGCAGGATAAAGGAGGAAGATACAAATGAAAGAAGGCTGTTTAATTACTGAGAAAAGTAAGTACAAATCTGTAAAAAAAACAGACTTTGCCACATTTGCAGTTTTCAGAACTGGTGTGTCAAGAAAGATCTGTCCGTTTTAAAACAGTCATCAAGATAAACCAGACTCTCTGTTACGTTGGACCAGGCCCAATTAAAACAGAATGAAATATGAATAAAGAATTAGAATCTAAACCAGTTTTGATTGACACCTCTGTACTTAACCCATCTGTTTTGAGTGAAACATGCATACCTTAGTTATATCAGAAATACACCAATGCTACCTAAAGGTGCAATGTGTAGAAAGTGACTTACATTAGCGGGCTTCAGCTGGTTGATGATGGTGGTTTTTCCACTGTTGTCCAAACCGAGACAAAGAACATTCACCTCCTTCTTCAACCCCAGCCATGCTGCCAACTTGTCAAACAGCCCCATTTGCTAGCAAGCAACCATCAGCTGCCTGTTTGACCTACAAGAAACAGTCCATACATTATCTTAAAATAAATGGTAACACCGGCTTATACACATATTGCAGTTCAGTTGTTTCACAGGTCTACATTAGCACCTGTATTGAAGCAGCTACTACAGAGTGACAGTTTTGCATTTCTACACTGCTATTTATTCTGCACTGCTGACCTCCTATTTGTGAACTATATTTTATATCTTCCTGTATGTTTGTGTGCTTTTTTTGTGTTTGAGTAGCCTGTCTTCTTTCCAGCTTACATTTTGGAGGTTATGTGGCTCAAGGTCTGATGCTGGCCACATCTAGAAGCTGCTTGACAACCTTCTGGATCCATCTTTTTCGCATGTTCTAATTCACATTTTGTGACATGGATTGTACAACATACTGTTATTATGTTTGTCTGTTCTGCATACTCGACATTTATTGCACTTCTGTCCATCTTGGGAGAGGAATCTCCTCAGTGGATCTTCCTGAGGAAGTTACATGCAGCCTCATAACAAAATAAAAGGTGATGTTTGATTTTACTCCAGGGGCGGATCTACCAGGGTGGCTAAAAAATAGCCTTGCCACCCCAGCTGCCACCCCAGTTGTCATCTTTGTTTTGATAGAAAAGTTGTGGCTCATCGGACATTTATGAGGGAAAATCAATAATGTCCGAGTGCAAGTGAATGCAGCACAAGCCGCGAGTCTTGTAACCCCTCCCCCGGCCCTAGCGCAAGCTTGGAAATATGATTGGCAGCGATTTCATTTGAACGTGGGGAAGGCGCAAAACGAGAAGCATTCGGACCCAAGTAGACGGAAGGAATGAGGTATTTGCGGTCTACAATGGCAGAGAAGAGACTGTCAAGTTTAGCTGTACTCATCATTTAATCAAAACGCACTAAAGCTGTTGATCTTAATAAGTTTGTGAGGCGTTTTGCTGAACAAGATGGTAATCGCCGCATTCAGCTGTAATAGGCATGCCAACTTGATGCTCTGCTCACGGATGACTCGATGAGCATACAAAACTTTTAAGATGATGAGCTTGTATGTGTGTATATATCAGCGACGTGCAGTCAGGGGAGGCAGAGCCTCACCTGTCATACTCCAATGTAACGGAAAAACAACTAAAGAAAAAACTAAATAGTAATAATAATAAAATGTCTCCACTGATCTATGATGTAAGTGTGATTTATGTATGATTCCAATCGCTTTTTAAAGTCAAAATCAGCAAATTTGCCGAGCTCCGCTACAACTACGGGTAGCGATGAGAAGTGAGGCAGGGACGAGCTCTGCCTCTCGTAAGCCCACAGTAACTTGCTGGAGCACGGGCACTAATTTAGCGCGGGCACTTATTTTGTGAGCGCGCTAAAGCCAGTTAGTGTGGGGTGAGGTGAGGCACAGATGAGATCTGCCTCACCTCAGAATGTGTCACCCCACAGAAACTGGCTGGAAAGCGGGCACTAAGCTCATGCCTGTTACCATCTCACTGTATGACACCAATGTAATGTTTGTAGATCCCTTTATTAAATATATCCTCGCCATCCATAGTCTCTAAATAACTTATTTAACGTATATATGATATTTAGGCTCGCTGGTCTCATCATATAACGGCAATGAAAAAAGCAGCAGGAGAGGCAGCCATAACCTCTGCCGCACTGAAGGGGGCGCACGTGAGCCCACAGGTTCTTGTTGCTACTGTTATTCTACGCAGAGAAGAGACGCAAACAACAAACTAGACTTTTGAAATTACAGGAAGATAAGCAGGACTTTTACAACAAACTAATAGAGATTGTTGTCCAGAAGGAGAGCATGGACTTAATCTTCAAGTCAAGGTAAGACCACAATTGTAATGAAAATGGGATCTTACTAAGAAAGAACAATCCAATATTTAGATTTTGGGTATCCTTTTATTGAACAGTCTGTTTAAAATGAATCGAAGCATCAGACTAAAAAAGCTTTTGAAAATAACCGAATATTTCGATTAAGGTCAAAATATAATATTTGTAAATCTGACTCAGTGCCTCACCAACCATGAACCTCACTGCACGCACCGCACGCACTGCCCTTAGGGATAAGGTAGAAGTCAAGTCATCCGGGAGGGACTCGGAGTTGAACACACTGCTCTAATTCGGAGAGGACCGCTTGAAGGTTGGTTCGACACAACAATCCAACTGCTGCCTGTATCACAAAAATCACGTAACTGGAGAAAAACTCATTTAATCTCTCCTCCAACGGGTGACAAAATAAAAACAGCGAGTGTCTATAGGTCAGGACTGCGAAACACATGTGAATGTAAACCCATTAAGTAAACGTCTCCTATTCTTCATCTACTCTCAGTTCAGTTAAAGGCAAAACAAAGACCCTTCAATTAACCACACTAATAGATTCATCTTTTATCTACTGCTATCATTCTTTTCAAATTATTATCACAGTTCTGTACACAGGGTTACGGTGGTAACGGAATACACAAACTAACTGCACACCGCATATTTGAAAAACAAGTAACTGATTACAGTCCAATGAACATATTTTTGGAACACTTAAGAAATTATTATGGAAAAGTTCCTCCACAAAATGTAATCTCATACTGAAAGCAAAACCTAAAGAAATCATCCGGAACAGCTTCCTGTCCTTACTACCTTAATTGTTAACCAGTGGTAGGCCTGTTTGTTCTTATATCTAGTAATTATATGTCTTATTTTATGTTACTCCGAAACAAATGACTTTTCCAGAAATTAGTTAACTTTATATACATCTTACCCCTCTCTACACTTTCTCAAAACCATCTTATTCGCCTGTCTCTCTCCTGTTCCTCACTGCGCCCTGCAGCTGCCGGGCCCTGCCACAAGTTTCTCATAAATCACCCCTTTGGTAAACCGTGTGGATGCTGGAGCAAAACCTCGTGCAGGCCTCTGCATGCTTAAACATTAACAGATTCCTCTGACAAACTTACAAAAAACCTTCTTTTACTTTCTACCCCTTCTTCATAAACCTCTAAAAACACAATTCTGGGTGGATGTTTACGTTCAGTTTCCATCTACTATTAAACAACCAATGCAACTGAGAGTAACTGTAATTATAACAATCCTAAAATACATTACATATATATATTTCTGCGCCGTGAGTTCGTATTTCATGCTAACAATTCCTCCCCTCTTCCATGTCTTATTCAGGGAAAAACCACTTATTATATTAATTTGAATAGAAGCCTTAACTTTAATGTACTTCATAACTCAGTAAACCGTCTTTTACTTTCCCCCTAAGTACGTATGTAGATATAATGTTTTCTCTTGAAGTATAATTAAGTACAAGTTTTTTTTAAGTTTACATGACAACACATGACATTCTCAACGCAATGCAAAGGGTATCAATCAGTTTCTCAAAGACTATGTTTAAATACCGCAGGCCAGTCAATCATGGTTCTTATTTTTCAATAATATCTACCACTAAAATCACACATTGATCTGTAATGTCTATGTATTTCACTCCAACTTCAGGCATAAAAGAAACAGCAGACACACTCCGGCTGCGCTGCTCCGAGAGGAAAAAGGGGGGAGGGGGAAGGACTCCACAGACAAATACCGACACCCCCCCTCTCTCCCCGCGTAGCTCTCGCCTTTTTAGGAAAGGGGGGCTTCTTTCAACATTAACACTTCTGCTACATTTTATTCAATTGTTCTGTTGAACCCACTGTTCTCGGTAAGCTCTTAACTCATGCTTTTCTTGTTCAAAACTCCCTCAATAGTTATGACTCCTATCATTTATCTGACAAGGCTTTTTCATGTCCAATAATTATTCTATTATCCAAAAATGTGCACATAAATATATCCTCCTCACTGTCTGGTGCAGCTTTTAAGATCCCAATATTTCTTCAACAGAATGGAGTTAACACCAACAGACTATAAACGCACCTCCGCCCCCATGAGCGCGGATCTGTTATTTAATTTAGTCTAGATGCAGACTCAATACTACACCTTCAGCTAGCTCCGTGCGGACCTCTATATACCCGCAACCAACACCTACACTGACTTATAACGCACCTCCCCCAGGAAGATAGCTTGTGAGGACTCGATACCTTCACTAAGCCTAGGGACTCTATACCCTCCAGCCGTTAGAGACCAATAGCCCTACGCTAAAAACTTCGTGCTTCCACTTTTATATGTATATAGCTTCCTACCTACGAAAATTTTTTTGCATACCAACCGTAACGACTATGACACCGGAAATCTCTGCGACTCTAAAATTTGGGTTACTATAGCCAATTAGCAGATGTTTGATAATCACAGTTGGCTGCTCACCTTTCCGTTGTCAAGATATTCTAGCATCCTTCTCCGGACTACTTCCGTCCCGCGGCTGCTTGTGTTTGCCTCTAAAAAACCCACGCATGTACGTAACCACGTCCTCACGTCACCACATCATGACTCACCGACGTCGGGGCACCAATTTGTTGGGGCAAGAACCCTGCCTTCCGTGCGTCCTCTATGATTTGTTTAAAAGAAGAAAAGTCAAAGCACCAGATAGGACATGAATGCATAACGCCGAGTCATGGTTAGTATCTGATTAAGAAGGTCCTTTTCATTGCAGCAGCAGAAAGAAACGCAATGATGGCTGAATTTTAGTATTTTAACAGAGGTCAATAATTTGACGGCCTCGGGAGGATGTTGAAAAAATGAAATGGCCCTTGAGGAAAAGGTCCCCACCCCTGTCTCAGAAATGAATCATTAATTTAACAAGACTTTAACTGCATAATATCTAAGGAAAATTCTATGGAATTCCCATGTTAATTGCAAGGAATTGATAAAACAGAGAGACCCCAGGGGCCTCTTCTCTGGGTATCTGCTAGGCATGAAAGTCACTCACTCAATGCAGAAACACAAAGTTAACAACACATTCTAATAGGGACATTAAATGAATATACCAAAATACACTATATTCAACCTTTCTGCTCCCTTCACGCCCGTTCTGTACTGTTAGACGGGCAGGCGGAAGTGTAGCACAGTGCAGGTTGGCGCAAAACCGGTCACGA